TAAATTTAAAACATACCATATAAAATGAAACTACAACAAAACAAAACGTGGCGCCCAACGTGGGGCCACGTTTTGTTAACACATTGGATCTTTTCTTTTTAACTGCTGAATAATTGTTTATTTTATCTACTTCGAACTTTAGTTAGAATACTCGATTTGGATTTTACGTTTGAAAAAATATATGTATCACTAAACTTTGATTAGATGTAACAGCACATTATTTTATAGCTTATACCATATTAAAATTAAGGTTTTAGACCATATTAAAATTAATTCGTTCACTTTGTATTTTTTTATTATTATGCGTTATGTTTTCTTTACGTACCAACCCTGTTTGTCGTGCAACAAGCGTTCCATGGATGTGTGGGGCATTGATTTCTCGCACGGCGCGCAACAGGCTACAACATTGTTCTTACTTTACGATTACTGTAACGAGCGTTTGGTTTCTAGCGAGTTGTTGAAGTAATGCTCCTACCTATTTGTTATTTAAATTGTCTGTTTATTGATCTAGGAAATGACCTATCCTTTTAGATTGAAATTTGTGTCTGATAGCACATGGATTATAAGTTAAAATTGATTTTGTATTTTTTTGACGATATATTATCATTTATTTAACTCATATTTAAATTATTTTAATAAGGTATATATAATTCTACTTCACTACACTCTTACATTATTGTTAACTCCTGTTAACAATATTGTAATTCCGAGTTCCTACTCGGAAACACATCTTATAAATTCCGAAGAAAATTCCGGCTACAAATCCGCGTCTTGCTCATTTTAACCTGTTGACAATGATGGATATGTTTTTTGTTGCGAAAGTTGATATCACTTGATGTACAGGTAAATAAAAACATCGCTCGAAGGCAGCATGTTGGATACGGTTTACGATATTAAAAACAAGAGTCCCTTACCTTAATTGAGTTTGCCTGTTGCAACATTTCCGTTCTGTCATATTTACAATTGACGACAGGTAATCTATTTAGTAGCATTTACTTCTCAGATCAAGATTGCTCTTGACTTTTGAGTAGGCGTTTGACTAAACTTTGTGGAATTGGGACCAATATTTAATGTTTACTTTAATTACTTGGCTATGAGTAGTGTACTCTCTTGGGATGCTCGAATATGGAACATGAAATGGGGTCGCAGGTGTGAACAAAAGGTTGTGTAGGTACTTATATTGTATGTGTTTTTAACAGCAGTAAAGCTCCTTTGTGAAAGAGTTCGTTCGTCCAATACACGTATTACTGCGTTTCGGTTTTGAAGGGTGCTGGTAAAATTACAAGCTCATGGGAATTGTCAACTTATGTCTCAGGGTAACGGGTGCAGTGCAGTGACCCTCAGATCTTTGTGATTTAAAGTTTTAAGTGGCACTGCAACTGTTATATAAAGATAAGCGTTTAGTTTACCACAGTTGCACAGGTCTCAAATTAAAATTGCTCTTGAGTTTTAAATAGGCGTTTAACTGAACTATTTTAAATTAGATAGATTTTTTGAATTAGATCAAATATTTTCATGTAAACTTTAAACAAAGATTCCCTGCGCTCCATCCAGTTACAGTTAGATTATTACGCACAGGTAAATCTGCGTAAATCTTTAATAAATTTTACAGGTCGGTCTTTGTATTGAATTCATTGCTCTCTAGGCTCTGCGTTCTAGTCCTAACAGCATCTTGAAAACGTTTGTGGCTAAGCTTGATGCGTCGATGCTTCGTTATTTCATCCAGATTCTGATAAGGCGATGTAGTCGGCGGCGCCTCGAGCATAATAATATGTGTTTTTATGTTTTGTCTCTGTATTTACTAACAATAAACATAAGTTTAAAAATGTCTGTATTTACTAACAAGTGGGCTTTGGATGCCAAATAAATTATTTATTTATTATTATTATTATTACATCGCGGCGGAACGTAATGGAAGCGAATTGTTGTTACGAATGTTTGTCGCGCATGTTCGAGAAAGTTCGCGCATTCCGCGGAAGATTTTGGCTTGTGTCATGTTTGTACGTTACACAATTAACCATAAAATTCATTATGCTATGTACAATATCGTTACAAAAATTAACTTCGGTTCTGTGCCGCCGCAATATAAATTGAGCCTTAGGGTGACCGACGCAGTCAGCGGAACCCCTCAAATCTTTCCAATTTAAAGCTTTGAATGACACTGTAATAGATATAGGCGTGTCGCTTACCCTCAGGCCTACGACTTGTTCGACCTGTCACTTAATATTATGAAAAAGTACTCAGGGTTGTTTCATTTAAAAGACACTTAACTTATTAACTTACACAATTAATTTATTGAAATTAATTATTTACAAAATGCCCTAATTCTTACTGACAATTTTATTGTTTGAAAAACAAAATAAAGATATAAACAAATATAGAATAATTATCCGATATAAGAAACGTGTGTAATGTTTTAACCGTAATTTAGTATGTCTCACAGGGGTAGGCTGAGTAGTTGTCCACATAATGCCTTAATTATCATAGGCCTTGATAATTACGATTCATGGAATGGTCCACCATTGTTTTGTGGCATCAATGTTGCTTAAGTGATAAAAAAATTGTTTCAACTTGCGCAACATGGCGAGGTTTGTCCGCTCATTGAAAAATTTCTGTGCAAACTACATCGCTTGATTGATCGTTCTACATTTTAAAGTTGTTCTTAAAAGCTAAATGTTTAAATATTTACTAATAGTCTATGTAAATATAATCATAATTATTTATGTTTAATACTATCACAACTGATGAGGGCGCTAGATTATTTTATAATGTTATCTACGTTACAAAATCGTAGATTATAAAAACAACTTGACTGTTTGAATTAAAACAGTATTTTATTGAGTTTATATTTATTGTAGTAAGTGTCATTATTTTGGTTAAATTACTCAATTGTTACGTAACATTTTATTTAAAAAGATAAAAATTCTAAATTACTTATAATAAAACATTTAGATAAATCAAAGTAACATGCAAAATTACAAAAACTTGAATTACTTATTTTTATAATTTTGTAAATAATCTCAAAGATTTAGGCACACAATTAAATGTTAACAACGAAATTAATGGAAATAAGATTCAAATCTTAAGTTCATATTAAGATTACTACAGCTGGCGCCATCTCTTACGAAGTAGCAAAACTAATAAAACATTTATGATGTGGTGGCGTGAAATGAAACAAAACGGAAAATAATCTGTAGAAACGCAAAACACTAACTTAATTAAGTTCACAAAAAAATTTGAATAAAACTGTCTCTTAATAACATGAAATTATAGCTAAATATGATTAAGTAAATAACTAATACTTACTACATACTAATAACAAATTTGTATAAAAATGTAGAAAATATTGCATCTAATGTATGGCATACTACTTTCTTTAATTAGACCTTATTAAAGCAAATTTCTTAACATAATTCATTCAATTTTCGCCCTTGTTTAGTGCTTACCAAGAGCACATTTTACAAATTATAATTTATAGAATAACTTTAAAATTACTTGAGCGCTGTACTAATTTAATATCATCATTAAATAAATGTTCGCTATTTGTTTTACTTGTCACTGTATGAATTCCTCATAAATTTTAGAGAATTGAACACAAGTTCTTTATACAATGTTAAGTAGGTATTCAATTTGTCTTGTATACAGTAAGAAAATTTTGATAAAATACCTCATTTTATTCCATTGTCGTGATATAAATTTGTCGAATAAACGTGAATATTAGACAACATGAAATACGTTGCTCTGATCCCAAAGTAAGTAACTTGTGTTTTGGAAATCGAGAACAACAATCGTGGCACTAACATCCAGACCCGAGACAATATAGAAAAGTTATATTTTCTACATTAACTTGGCTGGTAATCGGGACCCTAGAGATGGCGATACTACGAAAACCGGTGTTGCACACCAGTCGACCATGGAGGTCACCAAAATTTATATATTTGAAAGGAAAAAAAAATATATTTAAATGTTGTCGATCATACTTTCCACTCTGTAAGGGGGAAGTGACCGCAGACCTTCAAAGCGATTATGGTTTCCAAAGTCACTGACGGAAACTCAATGTCAAATTTCTACACGGGCCGTCATGATTGATCTACGTATACTATAATAATATACCGAGTGGTGATAAATTTTTCATTTCACATATTAACTAAAAACTCGAGGGAAAGAAAGAGATGGCTTTAGGCAACAAATACAGCACTATCTCTCTCTCTCTCTGTGTGAAAAATTCGTGTTACTTTAAAAAGCGTGACAATATCTCAGAAACATAATATATCGCACCTTTGCTGTAATAAGGCTACATTAAGAAAATTACAACTATTCAAGCCGAGCGAAAGTAGTTGATAACTTTTTATACTTAATGGTCGATAGTACCTTAGCCCGAATTCAAATTTTTCCCGTATTGAATCGGTTTTATTGCGCAGGTCGAGTGGCGGAAACACTGGCTTTATTTCAGGATGTTTTTTTCCAAAGGAAATTAAAGACATTTGATAAATGTATATCATATGCTATACGTGTTCTATTTAGTTCTGTTGATATAAAAAAAAATCATTGGTATCAATTGTACTTGTACAATTGTAATTGTACAATAAAAAAAACAAAGGTACAATCAATTATAAACCATAAACCACTCGTAAACTTATGAGTAAACCATAACTCAAGAGGACTTTTCAAAAGGTCAAAATCCAGTCTTATGTATAGATGAGGCTGATCAATAAGCCTGGAAGTAGTTTATATTATGTAAATGGTCGTAAATATCAATTAATTCCTATTTAATATGAAATATAAGTAATCAGTAGACCGTGAGCTAAAATTTGTTTTCTGAATTTTGACAAATATGCATGTCAATAGATGGCATAGTGTGATACAAACTAATATAAAAATTAACGCTTCCTACGAGTAGATGGCGTTAATTCTAAACAAAATAAAAGAATAGCCGGAATTATCCATAGAAATCAGTGCAATAAGCGCCATCTAGTTGATTTTTTTGTTATCACTAGAAATTCGAGCATCTTTGATAAATTGCAGCTTGTCAATGTAAAATACAATTAGTTACAAAAATAGCTATTTGGTACTCGTCGCGACATCTGGTGTACAAATAGGTCCTAAATACCCAATCACGTTGTCTTGTATCGCGTTAGCAGTCCTATGTGTCATTGGCCCATGGAATAAATTTAACGATACATAAAATTAGAAAATTTGTTTCTTGTGATGAAAAACTGTTTAAGGACTCTGGGATCGCCGGTTACCCTCCTGTTCCGCAAAAACCATGTATTGACAATCAAAACAGGCTTCTTTCTTTCTAAAGGCGCCTTCAAATTAGACGCTTGTAGAAGCGCTACAGTGACACGGCTGTGGCGCGTCAGTAATTTATAGTACACTTATTGTGACGCTAAAAGTAGTGCGCGCGTGTCATGACAGTAACGCTATAACTGCGCTTCTAAATATTGTATAAAAATTAGTGGCGCCGCGCATGCAGCGTTATTATATGCGTCTAATTTGAAAGCGCCTTTTAGTGTAATTTACTAAGTTTTCCGGAAACTTCGACAGTAGACTCCAATATGCCATAAGCTTAAAAATAGAACAGAATAGTATTATTCATGATTTCACGAGCACGCTTCGCATCTTACGAGACCAACTTCGTCGCAGTTCATGCATTTGAGCGCCACGAACTCCGCTGTGAAGTGGTTTCTATGTAGACTCTTCTTGGAGCCATTGCAGATTCTGCAAGGCAGAAGACGGAACCCTCCACACATTTGGCAGGTATTACAAGCGTCGGGACTCTGGAATTAAAAAACAAATTCATATTAGTAAATATCATATTATATAATATCAAACTGCATCTACAGAGCTTACAATAAGCACTTGGTCGATGTCAGAGACAACGAGGTAGTCAAAACATGTAATTTTAAATCAAATTCTTTAGTAACTCATTAGTAGTAGTAGAGCTTCTTGTGAAAGAGTTCGTCCAGAGAAATACTGCCTCAATACGCATTTCTGTCGCCAAGCGGTGCTGTGAGCATTACTGCGTTCTGGTTTTGAAGGGTAAGGGTGCTGGTGAAATTACAGGCACATGCAACTTTTTGTCTCAGGATGATGGGTGCAGTGTCAGCGCCCCTCAGATCATTAAGATTTAAAGCTGTGAGCGACATTGAAGCTGCCATGGACAAGTGTGTCGTCTACCACGAGGCACATGACTTGTTCGTCCCGTTATTTGATATAATAAAAAAGACCAATAAGATGGTGATCGTGAACGCGTGAATAAGAGAAACCAGCTCGTGGAAGTCGAGAGGACAGGCCTTTGCACAGCAGTGGGACACTAGGACTATAGGCAAATTTTTAAAAGACAGCTATCTTATTAGTATCTAGTTACGACACAGAATTTTGCGTCTTATTTGTTTATCATACTAAAAAATCGTCGCCTTACTTTCTCAAACTCTTATCTTAAAGCATAAAGTTACTAAAATGAAAAAAATGGATTGTGTATACAAATTTTGCAGGCTCATTTCACATCACATTTCCTTTACATTACATTTCATTAGCTTTTACCTATTCTTAAAGTAATGCATCCAAATTAATACCCTTCTTAAGAAATTTAAAATAAATAGACAGTTTTGCCATCTCCTGAATAAACACTATTTAAAAGATACGAGTATAAGAATGTAAAGCAATGAAATATGACCGCTTTGTAGTAGTAAAAATATACGCTCTTTTAAGCCGAAACCCAATACTTCTCGTTTTCAAAGTCATATCAAAAGGAATCTTCGCCAATGGCAAAATGGTATATATGTATGTAGTTGCATTTCTACATTCCGGAAAAAATCTAGAGTCGGTGTTGTCTCGAATAACTCTAAGACAAATGAGACTTTCGAGACCATTTCGAAAGGTATTACATATAGGTTACGCATTAAGGCAGTTAAAACATGATATTTTTATCAAGTTTTTTCTCTTTTTTCGTTTTCGACGTCGAATTCGACGAGCTCAGTTGTGTAACGGCTTATATAATGGGCGCTGATTGCGGTCCCGGGTTCAATTTCTGGTAGGACTATAAACAGGAGTATAGACACTTAACCGGAATAACTGCACTAAGAAAAATTTACTGTTTATTCTTGTCGTTCTTTAGCGTTTGACTTGCAAAATCAAATAGTAGCGGATATTGCACAAATATTCCTGTTAGTCTAGGTATTCTGATGCCGATGCCGTAGAAACGGCTAGATTCCGTTACGTTTTTGAGCCAAGACATTATTGTTTAGCACAAACCACATACCTAGCTGGAATCTACTTGACGCCAAGTGCTTTGTCTCTTATAATCTAGACGTAATTCGCAATGTGCTAGAAAGAGACGAAACAGAATGTCTTAAGTCAACTTCTGCGGGTAGTACAGTTAGCAAGGTGAAATCTCAAAATAAAATAATAAATCAATATGTGGGTAACTTTCAAATTAACATCTTAGTGAGGAATTCACAAAACACATATCATATACCTACATATATAAAAAAAAGATTGGTGTACAGGAAAACATCGTCCTTAATAATAGATAGAGTTGTAATACATTTTTATTTTTGTGGTCACGTATTTTGAATATGTACGTTATTGTTGCGAATGATATTTGACAGACATTAGAAAATTACACACCAAAAACAAAGGTCTGCAACAAGTACAATACATAGATTTATATGGTCTGCTGAGTAGTTTCGTAGTTCAGTTGGGACTGAGTCAGATGCGATTATGTTGAAGGCGGTGCGTGGTCGGTAACCAGCCGTATCGAAGGAAACTTTCTTAATGTTCGATCTTTGTATTAATAATCATAACAAACTAGTGGAGTATATTCACGAAAAATAACAGAATGCCATGCTAGTAAAACGTTGTGATATTCAAATAAACAATATTATTAGGCATATTTGTTTTTTCAAACAAACCGACGTTTCGTTTATTTAAATCCGGAAAAATAGTTTCATTTCCTATGTGTAACAATCGCGAAAACCTAAGAACTCGAAATATTATTAGGTTTCTTGTGAAATTACCTATTTTTGCCACAGTAATGTTAGCATTACTGCGTTCCAGTTTTGAAGGCTGGTGGTTGAAACTACAGGCACATGGGTCTTGTCAACTTTATGTTTCAGAATGACGGGAACAGTGGCAGTGTCTCTCAGGTCTTTGAGATTTGAAGCTTTGAACGGCACTGCAACAGTTATTGGTAAGACGTGTCGCCAGGAGCATAACCTAAACGTCTCGTTATTTGATATTATAAGTAATTACGTAACTTCAATTACGTAAAAGTATAAATAAATGTAATGTAGCATACTTTAAGAGAATTTTCAAAATTAAAATTTGAATTTGGTGTGGTTTTGGTTTGAATTTGAATATGTAAATGTTTCATATTTTTATCCGACTGCAGGTTATGTTTTTTAAGTGTATGTATATTAATTCCTTTTTCACGCTGTACAGCCTAAATGGCTTGATGGATTTTGACATATGAGGTGTCATTACATTGGCCTTGATTGTGGGAGTGTTATGGGCTATAAAAATAATCAAAATAGTGAGGGGGGAATATTTTTCTTATCTTTCCAGCTAAATATTTTTGCAGTCGGGATATGTTTTTTAAATAATTTTAAGACTTGTTATTTATTCCTTCGCTAGTGACCCCATTGCCTTCAAAATTAGGCGCTTATTGAAGCGCTGTTGCAGTGGTGACACAGTTTTGCAGTCATGGGGAACTAAAAATTATTGAAAGGCAAACAAAGAGAGTGAAAGAAGGTCTATCCCTAGAGGAGCCTCGTACCCAGCAGTGGGACGCAAGTATGTTGATGGAAAGACAGACGCGCAGCATATTTTAATGATTACTGACTAGAGAAAAACGTCGACAAAAGTTTATAGTTGCTCGTTACAAATCGAGTAATTTGAAAATCGTTTACCTATAGGTAACTTTGCAAGAAACTAGCTAAGTTTCTTGCCAAGGGTTTTTACAAGCAAAACTGAGTCAACAATGTCATAAAAAAGTTTTTTCTTTCCTAGTTCCTAACTTTCATCGAAATAAAATACGCTCTTTATTTCTTCTGCATAGTTTGGCTGAAGAAATAACAAAAGTATTTATCTCTTCAAGAAACTTAATACTTGTTGAAAAACATTTTCTTTTTTCAGTTTTTGTAAAGAAATAAGAGACATTATTTATTACATTGAATGACATGATTTTTTTTCTACCACTAATTTGTTATTATTATTGAATGAATAAACAAAGAAAAATTCCTTCGATCTGACTGGGCTCGAACCAGCGACAGTTGCCTCACCGTGGCTACCTTTATTGCCAACTGAGCTACAAATCGGGTCAGCAGATCTTCCGAATTTCTCTATGTACTGAACTGCCTCCGTGGCCGAACGGTTACCATGCTGCTCTCCCATGCAGAGGTCCAGGATTCGATTCCTGGGCCGGGAGAAATATTTGTATGGGTTACATTTATTTGTCTCTCATGAGTTTGGTTGTAATTTGTAGTTGTCTATGCATATGTCCATGATATCCATCCATATCATCTTGTCCAAAATACCCCAGCGTCTTAAGACAAAAGTTTTCGATCAGTGGGGTGTTGCCAGTGATGACTTACGGCACTGAGAAGTAGCCGCTCACTATGGGCCTTATAAGAAGGCTCAAGGTCACACAAAGGGCAATGGAAAGAGCTGTGCTCGGAGCTTCACTGCCAGATCGAATCGGCAATGAGAATATCAGCAAGGGAACCGGAGTAACCGACATAGCCCAAAGAATCGCAAAATTTATGTATCAGGGCACATTTCTCACAGAACAGATGGTCGATGGGGCCGAAGAGTTTTCGAGTGGCGACCGCGTACCGGAAGACGCAGCATGGGCAGACCACTCACAAGATGGACATCCGCTGGATGCAAGCAGTGCAGGACAGGTCGTTCGGCTGATATGATGATGTCCACGACACCGCAGGGTTAGGAGTGTGTGCCATATTTATCTAACTGCCTCCGTGGCCGAACGGTTACCACGCTAAACTGCCACGCGGAGATCCCGGATTCGATTCCCAGTTCGTAGAATCTTTAAACCTCTTTCATGAGTTTCTTGCAGATCTTTGTACCTATAGATAGTAAAAAGGTATATTAGTTTGTAAGCGTCTGACAACATATTTTTCAATATATATTTTGCTTTCAATGTCAAAATGTTACGTAGTTTCTGTACAACAAGATACGAAACATTCTGTATATTTTCATATACAAGAGGATATTATCAATATATTTATCTATATACAGACAGGCAACTGTTCACAAGCGTGCGGATGACGCTTGGCATCCGGACTTCACCACAAGATATGGGTGACGACAGCGTACATTACTAGTATATAGACAACTATATCTATATTTACTGTAGAGTGACTCTGAAAGGTTTGCGACATTTTTATGCTTTATATAGGGTTATTTGTAAAATTCTAACATTATAAACTCAATATTTAACCGACTTAAAACAGGAGAATGTTCTCAATTCGATTGTTTTTTGTGTTTATGTTATGCGATTACTCCGTGATTTTTTTGTGAACCGATTTTGAAATTCTTTGATGATTCTTTTTTGTTGGAAAGAGGGTACCTCAGTATTTATTTATTTATTTATTTTATTTATTTATTTATAAGAAGAACACAAACAGTTACATATTAAACAAGAAAAATATAACAAACATTGATAAGAATAAATAACTAAATATGAACCAACAACATGTTCCACAAATGATTAACAAATTATTCTATCGCGTGACACATGCGCGCAGGCCGATGGAAT